GTTAACACACCCAATTCAGATAACCAGCTCGTTAGAAGAGAGCTACATGCATGAACTGTGTTCCGATTGATATGATCCCTACACAGTGTTCATTGCTCCCTACTCCCTGAGCAGGGGAAATCCGTTGAAGTTTACTTCACTTCGGAACATGGGCTGGAATTGGGAACCGCTGATGTAGCCTATTGTAGTAATGTTGTCACTGGTATTCTGGTCTGTGAGCGTAAATGCGTTCAGGGGGCGTGGCTTTGGACAGCGATTGCAGGGAGGGTGGGACGTTCGCTTTCAGTGCTATCAGGCTAAAGTTAGCATTTTCCAAGATCTCCTACTGCACCTTTAATTGATTCTCATTTTTACGGAACGATATCGATTCTTAAATCCCAAGAATCGATTAGTCTAGCCTGTTTTCAGTTAATGGACTGAACGTTGAAGGGGACGGAATGTCCCATCCAATATATCGCAATAAGCATTGTGCTTTGGCTCTTTTAATATGAAACAAAGTCTCAAATTTCAAATTCTGTCCATTGTATTGCAGTATTCAAACAATAAATGCCGTTTTGGCGCTGTTTAATGTGGAGTGACAGATCTCAGTTCAACAGACGCGGCAGCGCGAGGCGCACGTGAACTGATCATCCCCTCCACATTAATACCAGTTTCAGCACAAAATAAACATGACTAAACATCCGAAGGTAAGTTGAAAGAAAGAGTATAACTTTACAATCCGTATCCATGTAATCGCTCAATCAGTGTTTCAGCTGCGCAAAGACGTCAATATAACGGCTTGTAAACAATGCCACGTAACATCACATTTACCTCAGAAAAATAAACTGTAGAGAGGGGCATTTTGCTAAATTTATGCACCATATAACATATTCATTATAAATTTTACTGTTCTTCAATGTTTAATTTATGTTTGAATAAATCCATCAAGATTTTATGACAGACACCATTATGTTTATATTTAAAAAAAAATTTGAAGTAGAAATATGATGTAATTGTAACTTTATTATTTTAAAAACTTCATTAAGTGAAATTAACAAATCAGTTCATTTTAACCTTTAATATTATAGTAATGTAGTACCAACTGACTCTCATGTATATTTTACAGCATTAGTTGAGAGATTTTTTTTTCCTTGAGAAAATTTGGCATGCACTGTACCTGATATATATCGATATGAATCAAATCAAATTGGTAATCGAATCGTAAGCTTGTGAATGAGAATCGAATCGAATCGTGAAATTTGTGTCAAAACCCAGCCCTAGTACCGTTCTGCACTGCTGCGGCTGTGATCCAGGTGCTGATCTGCGCAGCCCTCTGGATTGCAATTTGCCTCTCCCTCCGCAGTTCCTCACTCAGTTTCTTCGGCTCCTCTTCCTCCTGCTGCTGCTGCTCTTCCACTTCCTCCTCCTGCTCCTGCTGCTGCCGCTGTTCTTCCTCCTGCTGCTGTTCCCCCTCCTCCGGCTGCTGCTTCTCCTTCTCCTCCTGCTGCCGCCGCTCCTCCATTTTCTCATCTCTTTCCTCCTCTTCCTCTAAGTAATCCGGCCTCTGGCCCACTGCATCTTCACAAAAGGTTATGTCAGACCCACTCGAATTCACAGACAACTGGAAGACATCATTTCAGATTATTATAACAATTTTCACTGTCAATGTCAATATCACACGATAATGACAGATGATGAACTTACAATGAGGCCAATGTACAGAACGCCCTGTTTCTGACCCAACAGCCAAAAGCTCTTGCTATCATTCACCATGACGCCGAGAGGATATACCTCGTTTGCCCAGCTACAATAAAACACATACTGTACATTTACTTATTACCCAGTGAAGGAATGGAATGTTATTATTCACTATGCACTTGCCACCTTGCATGGGAAAATGCTTAACAGAGGAGTGCAGGAAAGCTGTATAAAAAATAGTAATAATAGAGTTTATTTACGTAAAAACTTCTCTGATCTCGTCTTTAGTAGAGACCACATCAATGATTTTTCCATCCGTACATACTCCAAACAGACTGCCACAGTAGAACAAAAAGCTCATAGGAGACTTCACTTTGAATGAAGACACCTTACCGAGTCTGGAACAAAATAAAATAATAACTGATCATTGGCAGATAATAAGAATCTATACTATTTTGTTTAAATAAATGTAAAATAAAACACAAAAAAAAATCAATCATTTAAATTTTAGTGAAATGTAAAGTGAATTTAGAACATTATGACAGTATTAAATATGGATATTCATTTTGAGATTAATTAAAGTTTACATTTAACAATATAAATAAATGATAAAAAAAAAATTTAATCATAAATTATTAGATTTTTAGATTAAGTTAATCCTAAAGTGATCCAATCCAAAAATCACATAATTATTATTATGAAATAAATAACATTATTATGCTTGTAATTACACTACTGAAATGAAATGCATTTTCAAGGACAGGCATATAAATACACACACATATTCTTGGTTCAAAATGGCACAATTTGGGCACAAGTTTGCAAAACTGAAGTATGGAAGTGAAGAGGCTTAAAAGTCATTACCCCACAATGCACTTCTTGACATCCCGCTCCAGCTTCCAGATACAGACAGAGCAGTTGCTGCAACCCACCGCCAGCTCATCGTCCGGCATCTCAGTGACTGCACATAAGCTGCCATCACTGACCTTCAAACAACACACACAGAGCCGTTCACTCTGACATTTCCAACTGAAAGAGGGTAAAGAGCACACTCACACTGTATTTTTAATAACTGATCAACAAATAATAATGTCAGTTCCCAACCCATGATTACCTTCTTACAGTAAACTATTGAATTCTGAAGCCATATCTCCAATCTGCCTGTGTCATAACCACACACCATGAGATCATCAGTACCCAGGAAGCACACAGCTCTGACAATGCCTTTCTGGCAGTGAGGGGTTTCTGTGGATGAATGTATATAAAAAAAGTTAAGTTAATAATACCAAACAAATGCTATATTTGGATGCACTGCTATAGTTTCACAAAAAAACAAGTGTTGCGATTTTTGCATCAATTAGGATTCTGCTTTTTTGACCATTCTGTCATACCCATTGCTGTGGTGACGCTCCATGACCTGAGGGAACGATCAGCTGAGACAGTGAGAAACTCCGGCAGTCCGGCCTTTTTGCACACTAAAGACTGGATTTCTGCACTGTGCCCATGCAGAGTGTTGTGATGCTGTACCTATGAAAACCATTTTTGAGAATAAATTAGGAATGGACTGATATTACAATTCTGACCGATACAGATACGACAACAATTATTTTCATTTTATGGCCAGTAACAACAAATGGTGAATATCAAATTCTCTACTATATTGTCTAAAACAACACTTATATTTTAGAAATAAATTAACCATCACATCATAATGTACAATATGAAAATGGATTCCTTTTGAGATTTGCTAAAGATTAAATTTAGCAGTATTATTAAATTACTAGTGTTATTCAAACATTAACTGTAAGTGAGCATTTAATGACCGCAAATTCTCAGGAAATTGTGTGAGATATAAACTCAGAATTCTGCCTTTTTGTCAGTGAATTCTGAGTTCACTTCTCACAATTCTGTTTTTTTTTTTTGTTTAAAGGGGTCATATGATGCGATTTAAATTTTTCCTTTCTCTTTGAAGTGTTACAAGCTCTTGGTGCATAAAGAAGATCTGTAAAGTTGCAAAGCTTCGTTTGTAATGGGTTTTAATGTTTTTGTCTCGTCGCTCCAGGACACGGCCTTACAGTATGGTAAGGGGCGTAACATTTCCGTCACACACTTGATGGTATTCGGCCAATCACAATGCACTGGATAGCTGGCCAATCAGAGCACACCTCGCTTTTTCAGACCGATGAGCTTTGTAAAAATCGACGCGTTTCAGAAAGGTGGGGCATAGAGGAGAAACAATAATGTACAGTATGTGGAAAACAATGTTTTTTGAACCTTAAACCGCATAAACACATTTCATTACACCAAATACACAAAATAATGTTCTTTTTAGCAACATCATATGACCCCTTTAATAAAAAAGGTAATTGCGACTTTGCAACTGACTTTATTCCTCGTAATTCTGAGTTTATGTCTTGCAATTCTGTATTGCATGTAAAAGAGTCTAAATTATGAGGAAAAAGTTGCAATTACCTTTTTTATTTTTTTATCCTATGGCTGGACAAGCTTCCATAAATATCGACTGATGACCAGTATAGTATCGATATATTATGCATCCCAAGAATTAATCTCTGGGAAATATTTTAAATACCTGATTTTCAATTAATTTTTATTTTTAAAAGTATGTAATTAAACAAACTATTAATGAAAAACATTGAGTTGTTACCTGCAGTGGATGCCAGAGTTTAACCGTTCCCTCTTCTGATGCTGAAGCTACTAGTAAATCTTTCGGTTTTAAATTCTTTTCCAGATCTGTGTGGAAAAAATATTTTTGCAGGATACATATCTATATTTCGATATCAAACAGCTATTTGTGTGTACATGTGTATATTAGTCACTGTACCTGGCTGAGAGACAACAGTGCAGTGATGGAGACGTGACTTGTGGGCCTGGATCCTGGTGATTTCTACCCCTGATTCCCACTTCCAAACCATCAGCAGTCCGTCTGTAGAGCCTGCCATTACATGATCCTCCTAAAGACATAAAAAAACTACATAAATATAAACAGGTTCCACTTCTGTATGTCTTTGCAACATGGCACAGCTGTCTTACCCAACAGCACAATGTGCTCAGAGATGAACTAGAGAGGATCTCTCTCAACAAACGTCCTGTCTGGATATCCCACATCCGCAGCTTACAGTCACTGGAGCAGCTGAGCTGAGGTGAGAGAGAGGTTTTGTACTCCGTTACAGACACACAGAGTCAGATGCTGATAACATGAACTAAACAGCACTTTGTAGGCATTTAGCAAATAGAAAATAAAATAAAAAATAAAATGCTAAATAGAAAATAAAAAACATTTTAATAAAAATATTTAAATAAAACGTATTTTAAATAAAAGAATTGTTGAATAAAGTCGTTATTTTTGTTTTCTTTGCACACAAAAAGTATTCTCGTAGCTTTATAACATTAAAGTTGAACCACTGATGTCACATGGATTATTGTAACGATTTCCTTGCTTCGTTTTGGACCCTTGATTGTGTAAGGATCCTTGCTTGTCTATGGAGGGTCAGAGAGCTCTTTCGGAATGCATCAAAAATATCTTAATTTGTGTTCCGAAGATGAACGAAGGCCTTACAGATTTGGAACGACATGAGGGTGAGTAATTAATGACAGAATTTTCATTTTTTGGGTGAACTATCCCTTTAAAGAACGCGACACACAAGTCTCCCGGAAATACTGTAGAATTCAACCAATCAGATGACGACTTCGAAACTCCTGAAGTGTTTCCATTTTTGTGTGCCATATTCATCAGATGTTCAGCCGACGGCCCCATCTGAGGCTGAGACTAGGCTTGCTTATTTGGGCACACTTGAATGATTTGCACAGACACTATTGGATGAGAACTGAACTGAGCTGCATGCTGACATCACTGGTTTAAATTGATGGACATTACACAGTTATTGAACCAAACTGAACCAAAATTGAACTGATTTCAACTGAATAATGACTGTTTACCATTATGTTTTTAGAGCTCTTCAACAGAATTAGATTTTTTTGCATCATTGAACCACTATTTTGTTGTCTATAGTTGTAAAGCTGCTTTAAAACACTGTTTCGTGTTCATGTTGTGTCGTGTGTTTCTTTCTGTCTTTGCTTCTCTTATTTACTTTCACTTTCTTAGTTATTTCTTATGACTATTTGATTAGCCACTGGTCCATTAGCCGCTGACGTCACCCATCCTGCCGTTCCCAATCGGACAAGACCACCCCAGATAAAAGAGCATGCCAGACCACCTGCAAGCCCCCCATGTTGTTGCGGTTTTGTGCTCGTCATTTTTGTTGCCATCCTGCTTGATTCTTTTATCCCCTTTTGTTTGTTGCTTGCCCTGTGTGTACATTTGGCTTCATTATATATATATGTCCCCACTCACCCCTTAATGTAACATATTTAAGCACGCGTTTTATTATTTGTTACGAGGCCGGTAAGAAGCGGACAGGTAAGCACATCACGTGACATACACTGCAACACGTAGGATTCTGCCTTTGTATAGTACATTAGGTTAGGGGCGAGTGCCACTCCTTGTACTTTTGCTTTTGGCTAGATAGTGTAGTTTAGTTAGGGCGTCTCGGATGCTGAAGACTTTTCTTTTTCACATTTTCTTTTCGTAGTTAGGCTTAGGGGGATATTTATAAGTTAGAGGGTGTTTGGTTTTGTTATTTTCTTTTATTTGGCGCTGCCCGCATACCTTCTTCCCATTCCCTTTGTCTTGTGTACAGGGCCGGATTTACCTCTTTTCGTGACATAGGCAAAACTAATTTTGGGCCCCCCTTCCCTATTAATATAATAGGCCTAATATTACCACCCAAGCAAAAAAAAATATTTCTTAATCAGTGGAAACCGTTACAGTGTTTTCTATCGCAATAAGCGCTTGCGTTAAGTCAATAAAAATCGAATGTAGGTTCTTAAATTTGTTTGAGAATTCAAACAAATTGCATTTCATTCCATTAATAGGCGCGGCGACGTGGCCACATAACCACTTCGGGAGTGCATTATTTCTCTAATAATTTTAACGGCCTGGAGTCACAATCACACATCAATTGTTCAGATGTTTTGTTTCAAGACATTTTACATGTTTCCGTCCTGAAATCTCGTGGGTGTTGAACTATCTAATTTTTTACGCACCTCATCCCAAACCTTCCGTTGCAAATTCCAAAACGTCATTTTAGAGCTAATAACAGAGGCTTGAGCCATTGATATGCAGGCTAATGCAGTTATTAATGCAGTCTAACGCAGTTATTAGAGAGAGAGAAAGAGCGAAAGGGAGAGATTAAGTGCGTGTGAATACTTGCGTCTGTGCGTCTCTCAACAGTATTCAGCAGCAGAGTCTACTAATAACGAATCTTTGAACTGCTTCAAGAACCTCGCTACTGAGAAATGTCATGTAGCTTTTCAGCTGCGAAACTCTTTTATTGATAAATTCGCGGGGCAGCCGCAGCGCTGATGACAAGTTTCTGTCCGCGACTCCGTGTGTGTGCGCTATTTGCTCAATGTCTTCTGGGGTTTTGGTTCTTTTACTGTTGTAGATATCCCATAGTATAACAAAAATATTATATATATCTCTTCATTGTGTTTGGGCCCCCCCTGGACGAGCAAGCATAGGCAAGTGCCTAGAATGCCTATGCGTAAATCCAGCCCTGCTTGTGTATGACTGTTTCTGTAAATACTGTACATATACTTATACCACTTTTTGTGGCACCATTAAACCCTTATATTTACCTCGCATTTACCCTTAATAAATCACTCTGCGCTATATTCTTCTGGTTTCGTGGCTCTTTGCCCCACACATTGGCTGTACGTATTTATTTTTCATGTCAATTTTATATGTTGGACTCCAGTACCCTTAGACCACTTTGGGTTCGTAACACACTGTATATCTGTACTGTATGAAAGTGCTATATAAATAAAGGTTAAAAAATATTTTGTGTACACTGACCAGATGCAGAAGCCACACAGGTGGAGTTTTGAGCCAGGGCGAGAATAGGTCCCTTCTGCACGCCAAAAGATCCTACCAACACAAGATTTTCTGGATTTTCTCCTTGCCTTTCCCAGACCCTGAGACGGTGATCCATGGCCCCCGACAGCAGCAGCTCTGTTTCTTTGACCTCCATCCACATGAGGCAGAGCATGGACACCAGGAGGTCCTCACTGGACCAAACCTTCTCTCCTACAGCACAAAACATTTTGGGATGAGTTCTGCTCCTGCTCTATAGTTTTTTAAATGGATGTAAATGTTTATTTACCTGATTTAAATTTGAACATTTTGATACCACCTCCATGGTAGCCCACAGCAGTGTATCCACCGGCTACAGCCACACACAGAGCATTAGCTTCATCTTCATTTCTATGCCTGGCTCTGGCATGTTTTTGTTGTTGCAATGTTGGTGTCTGCAAATGATGATTAAATAACATCATCTTGAAAGGAAAGGAAAGGAAAGGAAAGGAAAGGACAGGATATGACGTGTGGCCAAGTATGGTGTCCCATACTCAGAATTTGTGCTCTGCATTTAACCCATTCACAAAAGAGGGCTTTTAAAGACACTCCGTTGTTGTTTCTTATGTATTTATACACCCGTTAGTTAAATTAACAGACCTAAATATCACACAAATATGTACAAGTTTACAAAGACCAACAGAGGCAAAGGTCTTTTATAAAAAAAGGTCTGTAAGTCAAGCAGTTCAGGCTGAATTTATTTCAGAATTTAATACTGATAAGTAGTATAAGCAGTAAAAATTCTAAAATTAATAGCAATGCTAATGCAAGAACCTGAAAGTACCTTTTCTTCTCCCAGTACAGCAACAGTTTGCCCAAGACCACCAGACCATACATGAACCTAGACAACAAAAAAGTATTCAATTAATACTGAGTGTTTTAAGATGCATGGCAGAGTGAATCACTGTAACAAAATCTCGCAAACTTCCCTTAGCATTTCCCCCTCAGGGGAATCCCCGCTGCCATTTAGAAGCGCATGCCACCTCGTGAAGTGGACGAGGGAAGTTTATATGGACAGACCCTCGACCCCTCGATTTTGACAGAGGGAGCGAGTCATTCATATGTCATGCTTCATATGCACACTTCAGGCCACTTAATAGACCACAATGCAACACGATTATGACGATCTTGCAGATCGTGTTTAATTTATCCCCACCCCAAAGAACTCTATAATATATAAATTATTTTTTTAACATTTATAACAGCCCAAGCATTCCTATATACATATAGAATGCTGCACCAAACAAATTCGTAAGGGGAAAAATGTAAACAATAAACCAACTCCATAGCGGATTCTAAGTGATCAAGGGCTTAGGACATTCCAATTCAGCCCATTCTAAGGGTTCCGCCAGTAGTGGGCACTCATGCAATGTAATCAATGACGTACATTCGAGTAAACAAGACAGAGGGAAGTTTGCGAGTGAAGGTCATAAAAAAAATGGGATGGAACGCAGCCTAACTGTAAGATCATATTCCTCACCACACTGTCATGTCCAGCGCTCAGCAAGAGGTTTCCTCCCTGCAGGAAGTTTAGTGACTGCGTGGAGCCGCGGTGAGCATGATAACTGCCCACACAAGCAGCTGCTGCCACTGACCAGAGCCGCACTTCTCCTGACAGACAGCCTGAGCACAACATGGAGGAGCAGGGAGAGAAAGACAGACTCCGCACTGAACTCTGATGACCTAACAGAGTCTAAATAGAATAGAAATGGTAAGTTTTAGTATATAAGGCATAATGACATGTCTTTGGTGCCGTTCCTCACCGTAACGTTTTTCTGTTCAAGCCAGTTCCACAAACGAACGGCTCCATCCCAGCATCCCACTGCCACGAGCTGACCCTCAAGGTCAAAGTTCACACAGTTCAGGGGGGAGGGATTCATGAGAGAAGCCACCTCTGTGCTCTTCTGCACTGACCACACCTCACACATAAATGACGAAAACTTTAAAACAGCACAACATCACATGTAGTTCAGAATTAAACAGATTTTTTTTCTTGGTTTTACCTTCAAGTTTAAGTCTAGTGAGATAGTAGCAAAGAATTTTCTGTCTGGACTGACATCACATCCTGTGATCTTGCTGGAGTGAGCATTTACATGGGCAGTTCTTAAAGTGATGGAATTTTTTCACAGGTTAGTCATATTTCATTAAAGGGTTAGTTCACCCAAAAATGAAAATTAGGCTGTTTTACTCACCCCCGAGGCATCCTAGGTGTATATGACTCTCTTCTTTCAGACGAATCCAGTCGGAGTTGTATTAAAAATTGTCCTGGCTATTCCAAGCTCTATCATTGCAGTCAGCGGGTGTTGCAGTGCTTCAGTCCAAAATAAGTTAAATAAAAAGCGCCCATCCATAAAAAAAAGTGTCTCATATGGCTCCTGGGGGTGAACAAAGACCTCCAGTAGCGAATCGATGCGTTTTTGTAAGAAAAATAACCATATTTAAAACATAATAATCACTTGTGAAAGACTTTTTGAAAGACTTGAAAGAGCATTTTTGGGTGAACTAACCCTTTAATATTTAATTCATGTGAGTCAGGAAAAAAAAATTACCTGCAACCACTCGCAACATCCCACACCTCCACCTGCCCATCAAACGAGGTTGTTGCCAGAAGCTCCTCCCCAAGAAAGATGCAACCGGAGATGCCATCACCACTGCTCATCAATGACTTCACTTCCTGTTCGCAAAAAAAAAAAAAAAAAAGTCAATTGTTATGTCCACTGACATATCTTAAAAATGCAGAAAATCATAGTAGATTTCCATTTTTTATGCTTAAATGTTACCTGTCCAGTCTCTGTATGCAGGAAGTGAATTGTTCCGTCTCCGGTTCCTACTGCTACAAGTTTTCCATTAGGACTCACCACCACACAACTCGGCTCAGAGTGGAAGGTGGAAACCAGCTCACTGAGCAGAAAAAAACAATATTAAAACATATTTTAAAAAATTGTAGATAAATAACTTTTGTACATAGTGCTGTCCAAAACGTCTGAAACATCATTATTCAATTACATCTGATTCAAACATGAAAATTTAATATATAATTTAAACATGGAAAAAAAGAAATATTATATCTTATATTTCCAATATAAGAAATATTGGAAAATTTTGCATAATCAAATTTGTGACACTTACTATGTTAAATTCTAAATAGCATAAATAGCCGTTATTAGATAGCTAAACTAAATAGTATTTCCACAGGTTCTACAGTATTTCTCCCTATCAATCTGGGCCCGTTTTCATGAAAAATCTTAGTACAAAGAGTTGCTCCTAGTAACAAAATTCTAAGAAAATTCTTAGAAATGTGGGTTTTCCTCTTAAAATTAAAGAAAAGATAATATAGTAGAATATAGTAAAAGATAATACAGATAGTAAAGAAAAAAGTAATTCAGTAAGCATCTTAACCCTTAAAAGAGGTCTTAGGTCCAAAATTGTTAGGAGTATGGACAAGGGCTTTTAAGAGGCTTAAGAGTTTCTTTAGTCTGACGGCATTTTAGTGCCACATTAAAAAAATCTAAGATTACGAGATTTAAGTCGTAATATTTTGAGAAAAAAGTCAAAATTACGAGAATAAAGTCGTAGCAATACGAGAATAAAGTCAAAATATTTTGAAAATAAAGTCAAAATTACAATAAAGTCACAATTATAAGAATAAAGCTGAAATATTTTGAGAATAAATTCAAAACTACGAGAATAAAGTCAAAATTACGAGAATTAAGTCGTAGCATTTATGAGATTAAAGTTATTATATTTTGAGAGTATAGCCTGTATTGCGCATGCAAATGTCCCCGATTGGGAGCACCTGGAGAAATTCAAAGCATCAGCTTTCAAATTCTGTCAGGTTTATAGCGAAATACAAACAGTATGTCTTACAATAATGTGTTTTTCATGCTCTTTAATGTGGTGTGACAGATCGCTGTATTCACCTCAGTTTAAGCGGCATATAATTAGACTATCCTATTTTTTTCCATGCCTTCTGATGTTCCTTATATCATGCTATAACTTTAAATAAAGAGGAAAAACACATTTATACTTTGTATTTCGTGATAAAACTGACAGAATTTGAAAGCTGAGCTGTGTTATATTAAAAGCAACAAAGCTTATTGCGATGGTACGCTACAAATAGGCTAATGAATGGATTTGAAGAGGTGAAATATTATTTCATTATTGTAATTATTTCATTTACTGTATTATACCATGAATAAAACAGCTTGTGAATAGTCACTTAACGTTATATACCTCAGAAAACTCAACTCAACTCAAGTTGGAGCCTACTTCAACCTTTGAACGTTTTATTGTTGTTTTTAATTAAATACAGTAGGCTACATGTGAGGAACTGAAAGGTTGGGCGCCACAGACATTTTTTTGCGGAGTAGGTTGTGGAATTTTCAAAAAGAAAACAGTATAATTGAATGAATTGATTGAATACAGCGATTTGTCACACCACATTAAAGAGCTTGAAAAACACATAATTGTAAGACACACCGTTTGTATTTAGCTATAAAACTGACAGATTTTGGAAACTGACTTTTATCCCAGGTGAAAAAAGTACACTTCCATAATGTAATTAAAGTGCTCTATTTTTGCGCACTAATCTTTTACTTAATATACTAAAAATGATTCTTTAGTACTTCTTAAGATAAATTTAAGTGTAATCTAAGTGTACTCAACTGTGCTATTTTGGGACACCATGAATATGAACTAAAATGCACTTTTAACATACTATCACTGTGTTTAAAAAATGTATTTAGTTCCAACTTGTAGTACACTTGAGTGTACTAGTGTATGAAAGATGGGTTCAAGTGTACTACAAGTTGTAACTAAATACATTTTTTAAGTTTTCCTCGCTCAGAGTTGCTCTCAGATTGGTCCCAAATCTCTCTTAAGCTAAGAGTTAAATTAGGAGCTTTCTTAGAGGATTCTTAGAAGCTTTAAAAATATGGGCCCAGGACTCATAAATGACTGTTTAAACTCAGAATAAGAGAATAATGTGCTATTAATAAGGACCAATATTGGTACCTGGCTTCTTTTGGTACTGCATCTGTTTGGTTTAGCCATTTTACAGTATGTACTCCTCCATTTCTTGTCATGCTTTCTGCCCACAAATGGGCAGAGCTGTCACAAGGTTCATTAAGAGCTGTTTGTACAAAGAGAGCAGGCCACTGGGAGAAGAGAAGGCTGTGACGCTTCAGAAAACTCAGACAGTCTTCAAAATCCTTCATGTTATCTGAAAACATGAATTTGGTCCATGAATTTAATATAGGCTTACCACAAAAACATTTATTTGCAATTTCAGTACACATTTCCACTCATTTAGTACACATCATGATCATGAATCTATGTTGAGTCCCTTTTCAAGTCACTATAATCAGGTTTTTATACACATACAATAATATAAAACTAAAATACCAGCTGATGTTTTGGATTGCAGCTGATGGGTCTCATATTTTAGGGCTAAGAGAATAAAAGGAAAAACAATCAGTATGACACCCTGTGAACTATGTAGAAAAAAGACAAATGTACTACTGCTTAAAATCAGAAGCTTTAGGGTTCTCTTACCAAACAAAATGTAGGTCTCCAGAAGTTGGTGAATAAGTCCATGCCGCACATTAGCATAGAGGAAGCAGTAACTGGACAGCAGAAAACACAAAGTCTCCCACTGATTACTGCCCATCTGAGCACAGAGAGAGAGAATATACATTTCTATGAGTTTTGTAACCTCACATTGCTCACTGAAGCTGAAAGATCAAAGAAAAGAGCAGGAGGACACTGACCAGGTGTGCAGGGAGTTGAGACAGAATATCAGCATCAGAGTGAAGAAATGTGTCCTTGCCCTGAGGATTTGACTGCACCCAAAGGTGAGCTGGGAAAAGTTTATACAGAAATAAATATATAAAAACATGCATTGCCTTTTAAAACGTTTGGGGTCGGTAAGATTTTTTTTGGGAAGAATTTTCTTATGCTCATCAATTTATTTGATTAAAAAATACAGTAAACAGCAAAATCTATTGTGAAATATTATTTAATTTCAAATAACTTCGATTTTAATGCATTTTAAAATGTAATTTGTTCCTGTGACATCAAAGCAGCCATTACTCCAGTCTTCAGAGTCACATGATCCTTCAGAAATCATTTTAATATCTAATAATTTTTTTTTCAAGATTCTCTGATAAAAAAAAAAGAACAGCAGTGATTTGAAATAAAAATCTTTTGTAACAATATAAAAGTCTCAATTTAATGCATCCTTAAAAAAACTAACCATAATGATAGTGTATAAAACACATAAAATGCATCATGATTTACATGTATCTTGTTTCACCTGCAATTATCAGATGACTTCTGGTTCTACTCTCCTCAGTAGACAGATACAGACGTTCAAAGGCTGACTTCACCTCTGGATGGGTCAAAATCAGGAGGTCGTCTGAGCCCTGACCATGGGACGGTCCAATTAGGCTGCATTAGAAGAATGACCAAACAAATTATTCCTGGTCAAAAAGTAGTTACTCCTTATATATTTTATCGGGCTGTACCTGTGCAAAGTTCGTGCCAGCTGAGAGAATACTGCCATGGGAACACGGCTCTCTGGATGCCTCGCTATATGGAGAATTTCCTGCCATGTCACCAGCCCACCTCTGGAGTTTAAATCATTGCACATGTTCAGTATAGTGTAAAGAGAACTCTCCCGCAGTCCTGTGAAAGAAAGTGATTATTGATTAGAGAAACATTTATTTTCAATACATCCAGTTAAAAATAAATAAATACATGAAATGTTGTGCTCCATGCAAAAACTTTTATTTAGATAAGGAACTGAACAGAAATTTAAATTAAAATAAAATAAAAACTAATAAAATATTTTAAAAGTCAACAAATAAATTTAAGCTTTTGGATTATGTTTGAAGATTCCTTCATATATCCAATACACATAATTAGTTAATTAATTAATTAATTAAAAAAAAAATATATATATATATATATATATATATATATATATATAAAAACTTCTAACAAATGACCATATAAACTATATAATTCTCAATATTCAATATAGTTTAAGTATAAGCTTTAGCTTAAAGTCCAAATGAAATTAAAATTTACAATATTTATTTTGTTAGCACACATTGCTAGTCCTGAGGTGAACAATTAATTTGTGCAAGTTCATCCACTGAAAAAAAAATTGTTTGTCTTGGTAATCTTTAATCAAAATCTGAACACTTGCTTCCGCTCTTGAATGGCACTGGTGAGGACAGGTGGAGATGGAGAGGAGGAGCGCAAAAATAAAACCCCGCTCTCTATACAATATTCCATTTCAGTTGGAAATACGTCACTATTCGCCACACTGACAAACAGAAAGTCACTTGGCTTGAAAGTGACTTCTGTGTGGCCTGTGCTTCATACATCGCTACACAACAGACACAACAGATCGAATTTACAATACACATTGGACCTTTTTTGTCCATGAAACTTCACTGTAATTTTGTTAATGTGACTGGACTTCAAGATGTAAATTGGGCTACAGGTCAAGTCCCAAGTTCTGGATGATTTACCATGTATTTACTATGATATACTCATTTAGTGCTATATTAGTATCACTATTTGATACTTATCAATGTATTTCCCCTTTAAGAGGGTTGGATATTTGAATGGGACAGGCCCACCCTGGACCCTTTTAAAGCCACATTTACAGAATTAGCAAAACATATATTATGTCTTGTACCGGTGAAGCTGATGGCAAGTGTAGCTAATGCCCATCCCAGTCCTGCTCTGCAATATTGATTCTGCAGCCTCAGCAGACTGTGCTGCACCAGCTCACCAAGAGACTGAGGAAGAGACTGGAGGCTGTCCTTCATCTACAGTAAATAACAAATTTCATAATCAATTTTACGTTTAACTTCAGACTTCTTTAGCAAAACAACATTATGTGGATCACTAAAAAACACATTTAAAAAAATGTATTCTTTAACAATTATTTACCTTCTCAAAGGAGGCATAATTCTTAAGCTCCTCACAAGCCAAACAGAGGTAGAGTGGACTCACAGAGCCTTTCTTCATCAGCAGTGTCTGAAGCTACAGAGGATACACAATGATACATTTACTAGATATGCAAAAAGGTGTCAATTTTTTCTTATATTACTCCCAACAGCAAAAGGGAAGTTCACCTGGTTATTGAAAGCAGAATCGCTCAGTTTCTTTCCAAACTCAACAAGCTGCTTCTGCACAATCTCTTTCTTGTCAGGTAAAGATAATTGCCCCAGTGGAAATGACACAGTACCTTTACTTTTGCTAAGAGTGTTTTGTAGGGATGAATCTGAAGTAACACACAGGACCAAACAGACCCCCTGAGAGGAAAACGAACACAGTGACAGGTTGATGAGAAAGTTTAATCATTTTTAACTACACTTATTTCCAGTAAGTGTGCATATGTTTTTGTGCGTGCATGTTCCTCTCTCTCACTTTAGGGATGTGCTGTGGGATCCATTCTGACACCCTTTGACCTCGACCGTCATGGATATGGTCCGCCCCATCAACAAGCAATGCCAGTGGCTTCTTTTTGTTAAACTCATTCAAGTTCAAGTGGAACTCCGACAACAAGTCTCTGTGATGCAATAAGAGAATAATTATGAAATAATTTTTCTGAAATGACGATGCATGTTACATCAGATACTTCCTTACTTATAATATGTGTTTGGAGGCAACTCTACATCGTCTTTTCTTTTCCTCAGCCATTGAACAAGACAGCGAAGAAGCTGCACAATACTGCAAGCTGACTGGCTAGCATCTGTGGAATAGCATATGACATCACACAGAGGGGCTTTCTTGTTTTTGACAGAGGTTTTGAGTGCCTGGGCCAGGGCAGCCTTAATAAAAAAAGAAGACAAACATAATAACAGATCAAACACTGGCATTAATATATCAAGAACAATGGTTATTCATACAATGTATAGTTACAATGAACACAGTTTTGCCCTCTCCAGGATTTCCTTCAACCATCAGAATTCCTCCTTTTTGCTGACATTCTTGAACTTTTGCTGTTGCCATAGAAATAAGCTTTGCCCTGCCGTGAAACTGCCGCTGTTGGGCATCCTGATGCACTTCCTGTTCCTTAATCTCTGAGGCCACATCTTCATCTGTCTCCTAAAAAAAACAAAAAATGAATTTTAGTGATGAAGAAATTTCCTAAAATAACTCCACTAATTAATAAGGAAATGTAAAAAAAGAAAAAAAGGGGGGGTGTATAAGGGTCCATATGTCAAGAAAAAAATGTATCAAATAAATTATGAAATGTGCAAACATGATGATAAATAGATTAACACGAAAAGAAAAAACAATTTTAAAAGCAAAAATTATTTAGTAAAAAACAGAGAACATTCAATAATCAAATAGAAATTATAATATATAATATATATATTATATAATAATATAATATAAATATTATCTACTGCCCTACGTTTCATTTTCCAACTAGGCCAGAAGGCAGGACCTAATCTGTTGTCTGTCAGATTTTTGAGACCCTGTCATTGGCCAAGGCTGACAGATTTCGGAATATGTAGATTGCAGAATATCCCCATTCCATTATTATAAATATTATTTTTAATATTAATATAATTTTAATATTATATTATTATAAAATTGATATTGATATATAATTGATCAAATATAATTAAGTACTGAATTTTTAAAAAAGTTATATTTTCAATTGAGCCATTTTTTATCAAACTGCAGACTCTCTTATCTTTTTTACCCAAATCATCCTTATTCATTGTTTAATTGATTTATATTTCAACTGATGTATTGATATTTCAAGCGATTGAGTGGCCCCCAAAAAGTGTAACATATGAAAACACTTCTTTTCATGTGTTTTGATCATAGTCTGACCTCCACAAAGAGCTGCTGTATGACTTCCCAGATATCCTCCAGCGCCGCCTTCCCAAAGTCCTCCAGGCCTTTCAGATAGGGCTTTCCATCCACCACCTCACCCCATTCACAGGGATAACTAAGAGAATATGAAGCATTGCAAAAACAAATACATAAATACTCACTGTGCTGACAAAACAAATATGCTGAACTCACTTTTCTGCCACTTTGAAGTCGTTGTTCCGGATCCATGTTTTCAGGCTGTTCATTTTAGCTTCAGCTTCTTTGGATTCTGCCACAAAGTCTGTCCTCCATGCCACTGGCACCGAACTAAACATAAACACATGAAATGTAGATAATGTGACATACTGTATCTAATGTAAATCACAGAGCCACAGAAACATCAGCTTGCAGTTGATATTGTGTTTTCCATTATTTAATTCCTAGGCTGCCGTCTGTCAACTACAAAATGAATCCAGTCAGCAGATAAATAATAAGTGAATGTATACCTGGCGAGACGAGGTGATCTGAAGTAGAAGAACATGCGGCTCTGGGCAGAGTCTGGATACAGAGCTTGAAACTGTCGAATCTCCATTTCAGTGATGGATAACCCATCAGGCGCAGAGTTCAGCTGGCAGAGTGAAGAATGAAAACAATTCATGAGACTTTAGGACAAGGATAAACAGGATATTAAATATCCTGTATCAAGAAACACTTCTTATTAAACTCAATTTTGAAAATGTTGAAAGTTGTGCTGCTTAATATTTTTGTGGAAACAATCTATCTTTTTTTCAAGAATCTATGTTGTGTAGGAAGTTTAAAAAAAAGGAGTTATATGTTATAAATATCTTTACTCTCACTTTTGGTCAATTTAATGCATTCTTGCTTAAAGTATTAATGTCTTTAAATAATAATAATAACAACAATTTGCCCAAGCTTCTGAACAGTAGCATACTTTATTTTTTATTTTTTTTGCCTCTCTTATTTAGCTTGCAACTTTCTGGTCAACGTTAACTCTGGTTAACATTAAACTTGTTATGCAGCAAGACTGTACGTGATTAATAATAATCACTTGGATCACACTTTTAATAAAGCATCTATCAGACAAATAAATGTAATTACCCAGCTGTATTGAGGAAGCTCAGGTAGGGTGGGGCGGGGCGGCACAAGGCCGTATCTCTCTCCCAGAATCCCGAGCAGCAGCTGGCTGCGGCAGACCTCCGACAGACAGAGCTCCACAGCACGGTTAGACTCCTCCTCTGTGACGCCCCAGCGCAGCTCCACTTCCTGCAGGTAGAGGTAGTGCAGAGCGGCTCGTCTCCTGAGCTCGGGAAACACGCTACGCACAAGAACATCCCTCTCCGCATGCATGTCCCTGAACGTAGAAGAGATGAACACTCGCACACCCTTCCATCTATGAAAAGAGAGAAAAGAGAACTGATGAAGACAGGTTTTATTTAGTATTTCATTTCCAACAGTGTTGGGGAAAGTTACTTTTAAAAGTAATGCATTACAATATTGTGTTACTCCCTAAGAAAGTAACTAATTGCATTACTTACCTTTTATTTAAAAGCAATGCGTTATGTTACTTTTGCATTACTTTTTTTCATCTGGCCTGCTTGTTTGTTTTTAATATTAAAAATTCTATTTTTGGCAAATGTAAAAGCCCTTTCTCATCAAAAGTGAAATGAATAAGCCTCAGGCTGAAGGAATTAAATACATATAGGATTTTTGTGTTAACATTTATTTATTGCAGATTTGCATAATATTCTGAGTTTGCTTTTCACTGTTTTTATTCATTTTGAGAAATACTGAATCTGTTTTTGTGCAAGTGAGATGAGTAAATGCATGTTTACATTTAGTCTAGAATTACAGTAAATATCGTGTTTACACAGCGCACACAACACCTCTGCACTTACTCTCTATTTCTCTCAACACAGGGACAGGAGAGCTGTCAGTCAATAAATG